CTGCTCCCGTCACATCAGAGGTGTAACCGCTGGCGACACGCAGAGAGGATTGCTCCCCCCCGTGCCCGCCGGTGGTAGCGGTCACGCCTTCCACCGACGTTTGGGCTGACATCCCAGCCCTGGTTTCTTTCTTTAAACCCTCCAGAATGGATTCTTTTTCAGGGGTACCACCCACTTGCGTTTTATGCCTTCCGCCAGGCACCTCCACCCATGGCTAACGGTTCACTTCCTTTGGCTTTTTAGGGCAGAAGGAGTTGAACCGTGGCCTTAGCTAGACACTGTATTATCGCGGACGGGACAAGCAGCAATGCATAACCCCTGTCCGGACTAATATAGTGCCCATTGCCCAGCCGGTACCCTCGGGGAGGGTTCAGATGGAGGATTTTTGCCAGGCCTCCAATAAATATAAGTCATACAAAATTTACCAATCTTCTCTTTGGCTATTAAACGTGAAATTAAATGAGCAACTGAGCCATCTAAAGATCAACACATCTACAATCGACTTTGTGACGTAATTCGCCGTTGAAAGGGGAAAACATGAACAGGGTATCGTTGTTCTCGATCATACCTCCGAGTGTTAACCACATTCAGGCTTATCGACCCTTACCCATCAGCTGAGCGGGACCCATTGATTCCTAGCTCTAGCGGGAGATGTGGGGGGGGGTTTTGCTGCGGATAAGGATTCTTACGTCTTAGGTTTTATTATAGAGTCCCTCCTGAATCTACACAATAAGACGATCCTCATTCGAAACCAACACGCAAATAATTGTCTCAAAATTAGTAAAATATGAAACAAGGCAAAACTAAACTGCGAGAAAAAAAATTGAGAAACGAGAAAGCACGAATTAGTATTTGAGCCTGCAGGGGTGTCCTTAGGTGTTGTTCGACACACCCTATATCTTTACCCTCCCAACCATGGTCCTTCTTGTAATCGTTAGCGAAAGACCCCAAAAGTATTTAAATATGCATCAATTCGTTAGTCTCCCATGCCATAAATAAGAAAACTTAAAAGTTCATCATCATTACAATATTTTTTTAATAATCAAACAAAAATTCCTTTTTCGATATTTTTCAGTGTACATCTCTCCAATTAACAATAATAAACAAAGTCCTAATATAATTATGTTTCTACTTTCATGGCTGCTAGATATCAAGGCCTAATTTATTTAATTATTAATTTCTATACCATATCATTACATAGCCTATTTTATTTACTTATGGTTTATATAATTATTTATTTAATCATTAAAATTTTTTTTTTCAGTGTCATTATAATCCCATTTTATTTAGTTTAAACAATGATAATGGTAATGTGGTGCCTTATTATGATGCTATAAAATATTATAAATATATAACTATACCCATTTAATTGTTTTTATTTTTGTTGTTTTTTTTTTCGTTTTGGGTCTACCTAATTTTATTTCTCTATTATTATTCTATTTTTGTTTAGCTTCAACAACCTACATCGCACAATTACAATAAAACAGTTTCTATTGCTGAAAAAAAAAGAAATATGTATATGCAAAGGTAACAAAATAATTAGGTTTTCATTCTCTGAGTGTAGCCTTTTGGCTTTACATTTAAGTGCTTTCAATTTACGATGAATTAGAATAAAAAGAGGAATTGGCAAAATAACAAAAATCAATCGATGCTGATAAGCATTAATGCCGGTAATTAGTCTTTACACTGGGCGACATAATTTGTTTTCTGTTTTCACTCACCCACTTTGTTGTTCTCGATGATGTGTTGGTGTATATTAGGGGAAAATTAGAAATTACCAATATAGCCGAATAATCTTAATTTGTTTGTTTGGTTTTTTTTCTGATTAATATTTAAAATATTGAGAAGTTATTATTATTATTTTTTTTTTTTCAGTTACCTTTTTCATATTTGGTATTAATTTTATATATACATATTATTTATTTTATTTTCTTGTGTTTACTTACGTTTTAATTTTTTTGTATTCTTACTGGCAACGAAACTTTTTATTGCAGTGTACGACTTTAGTTGGATTTGCTAAGCTCACGCTCTTGTTTTTTTTTTCTATCATATTGACTGCTCATATGCATCACCATCACTACCGCTGTCTGTTTTTTACACCTTTTACATGCGTATTTTAAATTTTATTTCTTATCCGATTTGAGATATTTATTTCATAATTTGGTAATAATGATGATGTTTCGATATGGTTTTAACTCTAGTGGTATTTAATTGAACAAAAAAAATCATTTTTATATCTATGTATTTACACTAATTTGCATGTTTGTTTTTTTTTCCGTTTTGAGGTCGGGTTTTTTTCTTAAGGGGTTATATACAGTTGTACCGCGCAAAAAAATGCAATTTTGCCGATTTTTTTTGACATCATAAAAAATATTTATTAAAAATGTTTTGCCGACGTTGTTTAGTACATATTTCTGTGTACTTTATAAAATTTTTTCATAAAAAAATATTAAATATTAAAAATGTTATGGCCGAATTCCAAGATCGTCTTTTTTTCGATGGTGACTTGCGGTGGACATCATATCCCGAGAACGGTTCATCCGAAATCAAAAAATTAAACAAATTTTCGTTAGTATATTGTATTGCCTAGTCCTCTAGACCATGGATTTGTAAAACTTTTGATTAAAAAAAAATGGCGACAGTTTTAACAAAAAATTTACTTTTTCGAGGTATAACATTTTCGATTTTTATGCTTTAAAAAAAAAAATTTTTCAAAAAAAATTAAAAATTCTTCGTTAGAGGACTAGCTATTGTTATAATAAATAAGTGGTCAAAATTCGGTGTTGTTCGGATCAATAGTTTTTTAGTAATCGTGTCCACCGCAAAGGTAACTTCGAAAAAAAACGCTTCTGAGATAATCGCGTTTAAAGTTTCAAGTTTGTTCAAGCCGATGTGCAGGTCGTGCACTATAAATAGCTACAACTTCTGTTCTAATGCTCCGATCGTTATGAATTTTTGTGAGAATATTCTCAACAGTATATACTTGAAGAATATGAAATAAAAAAAAAGTCGATTTTTTTATCATCACAACTGTATATAAGATTTAAGATTTTACATTTTAACTAGTCGTGTGTTTTATGAGTTGTTTTAACCCATTTTAATTTGTCACTAGGTTTTAAGGGTTTTTAATTTTAATTTTTTTTTTTAATCTGCACTGTGTTTTACACGTTTTATTTTTGAGTCACTTTTTGGTGGGTTTTTTCCGATCCAAGCTGCGGCGAACTCCAAATAAAGTTTTCCCCCAGCAGAGATAGCTGCTCCAGACGCCCTTTTTGGCCGGCGCTGAATAGCGTAACCAATCTGCTCTGCTGCCTTGTTTAGCTGCAGCAATTAAATTAATTAATGTTGTGCAAACGAGCCCAGGAATTTTTAGAAATATTTACCCAGTGCTTCCTTTTCTTGTATTTTGCTGCTCAATCGACCTAGCGATTTCTCAACGTGTAGTCGAAGAAAACAAGCGTGACCTACACGTGCAAAAATAATGTTATTTATACGCCTCTGTTTGGACACATTTTATTTAAAATAATTACCTTGCCGACACGGTAATCTTTGGCAGCCGGTAAATTGGCGTTTGTTGATGGCCTTTTTCAACCGATGCCGAAATATCAGTAGGATTAGGGTTCGGAGCACATGTGAATATGCTCGCTCGTATATTTTCTCTGCTGGGTTCGGGACCAACTTCTCAGCTTGACGATGCCAATGTAAAAGATCGAAGCCAGAAGCTGGAGACCCGAAGAACCCTTCACCGATTTGCACATCGGTATTCACCAGCTGGTGGTTTCAACTGTCATTTTTAAGACGTTGCCAGATAAGGGGTCGATACTAATTATCGCTATTATTTTTAGGCGCGAATCATTTTAATTAAAAAAAAAATACTTAAAAAGTTTTTATATGAGTCCATTACAACTTCGGACCCGGCTGAAATTGCCCCTAATCCTAAAAGACACGGAGATCAAAGAGGATCTGGCGCGTCTGGGACCTCTACTAAGATGTCTGCTTAACTGCGTTGCAAACTTATGACTGAAATTATAATACCCTGCAATTATTACGGTGCCTGATATTTATACACATCATATAATAATTGGGTTTTGATAAAACTAAAAAAAAAAGAAAGTTTAATAGTTAAAAGAAAACTATATTTTTAATTTAAATCTCTAATATAATAAACATTATAAATTTAATTTGTTTTTGTTAGAATCGACCTATAACTGATAAGAATTTGTAAAGTTCTTCAGACTCGAGGTCTCAAATCGGCTGTAAATTTATAAAAATCAAAGGTTCGACTTTTTATACATTTTACTGCTGAAAAACATAGTAAACAAAGTTTTATTACATTTTACGTATACCGTACGTATATACGTATTAATCACAGTTTGACAGTTACAGTTTTACACTCCCAGATTTACATTTTTTTGTACATCTTCCGGTCGTTTCCATGGAAGCGTTAAGATATCGTCGTACGATTAAAAAAATATATAACCGAAATTCTAAAATAATAAAAAATAAATATCTCAAAAATTATGAAAATATGTTGAAAAACAGCCAACATTTTTCGATCATTTTCTATGGCAGCTATATGACTAGACTATATGCAAAGTTTCATTCAGATAGCTTTAAAACCGACGGACTAGTTTGCGTAAAAACGGACAGAAAGACAGACGGACGAACAGACGGACGGACAGACGGACATGGCCAGATGAACTCGGCTGTTTATGCCGGCCAAGAATATACATACATATATACTTTATAGGGCCGAAAATGTTTCCTTCATTGCGTTGCAAACTTCTGACCCTGCAAGACTATAAAAACTGTAACTGCAAAACTGAAAATACAATATCTATAATAATTTGCAATGGGCTTTAGACTCGAGGTCAAGTCGGCTTTTTTATAAAATCAAAGGCGTGACTTGAATATAATAAAATATTGCAAGCTTTTGCTGCAATTATAATACTCTATATAGTTTAACTCAATTGACTTTACACTACAAGGCAAGTTTTTTGTATGTAGCTAGGCGTTTAATGTCTATTTCAAAAAGTTGTTAACTAAATTATATATTCAAAATTTTCCTTTAAAAAATGTATAATTTTGTATAATGGAAAAGTATATAGAGTACAAATGCTGCAATCCGGCATCTAGGTATAACCATCTGAGATGCTCCTTATTGAATAACAATTAACTTTACTAGCCTCAGCACGTCTAGCTCAACAAAAATATTTTGTGATGGGGAAAAACTGTGCAATCCATGTGGATGTTATCGTTGCTGTAAGTCCGCATTTTTTAATGATCATACCTATTCTATCTTGAAGAGGATATGTCATAAGATAATACAAAATCAAAGCCGGCAAAGGTGTCGCGAAAACTATTCCGTTTTCGATGGTGGCAATAGCACAATCATTAGACCCGCATTCAAAGGACAACAAGGTTAATTCGATATATGACACATTTTTAGTTACAAATGTTCCTTATATAAGTTTTTTTTAGATGGGACTGATCTATTTAATAATTGTATTCCGACCCAAAGTGTGTCACTCAAAAGCGGACATAGAGAACAAAAACATGAATATGTTCGTGTGCCTGACTTAAAAAGAAATGAAATTGGAAAAAGCAATGCTGCATGGTATGAGAATATGGGTCAAAGGCAAAATAGTAAAAAGCCTTATATTTCGGGAGACAATGATGAAACTAATATTGGGAGGGAGACCAAAATGATACGAAAAGGGCCAATCCGCTATCAAAAGGGAAATAAGAACGAGGAGACTGTAACCAAAAACAATATAGATGTTTTGGAAAACGGTCTTAACAAATACAGCAAAGAAAACAATAACAAAGATACTTCAATTTTAAAAAAGGTGATCGACGGACGGACGATGACAAAAATGGATCAAAAAAGTCAGCAAGGCCGAACAGTTCAGATAGAAATTTTTATAAAGATGAAAAATTCGTGAGAGATAAAAATCAAGGAAAAAGTGAAGGAAAAGATAGCAAAAATAGAGAGACTAAAGCTAAACAATTAAAACTTGAGAAGAATGTGGATCATGATGAAATGAATAAGAATGAAGAGAGTGAAAGAAAAGAAAAAAAAAGTGGAGAAAGTAAAGCTAAACAGGCGAATATTGAAAGAAATGGGGAGCAAGGTAAAATAAATAATAATGAAGAGAAGGAAGGGAAATATAGGGAAAAAAAACACTTAAAGCACAAAAAAGCAAAATTGATAAGAATTTGGATCAAGGTGAAATAAAGAAGAATGAAGAGAAGGAAGGAAGAGAAAAAAAGAATGGAGAAAGTGAAGCTAAACAATCCAAATTTGAAAGGAATGTGGATCAAGATAAAATAAATAAGAATAATGAGAAGGAAGGGAAATACAGAAAAAATAGAATATTTAAAGCAGAAAAAAAACCAAATTGAAAAGAATGTGGATCAAGGTGAAATAAATAGGAATGAAGAAGAAGAAAAAGATAGAAAAAATAGCACAAGTAAAATAAGCCCAACCAAAAATTATAATGTAGATCCAGGTAAAATAACTAAGAACGAAGAAGCTTTAAAAATATCTAAAAAATCGGGAAAAAGAAGGGAAAAGCGGATAGGCGAGTTAAATCAGGAAAATGGCAATAAAAAAGATGAACAGAAGGGCGGAAAAGATAATAAAATAAAAAAAGAAAAATTGATAGTAATGATAAGGACAAAAACGGCCAAAGTTATCAAGCTATGTCAAAGAAGCAAAATGCTGAAATCTTTGTCCAAAAGGATCTCGTCGACGACATGAAAACTCAGAGTAGAGAGGGCAAGCCCAAAAGAATTGCATTAGGGCCCACTAGTAAAAAAAATGCAAAGTCAAAATTTAATACGGGTTATAGAAAAAGTAATCAACTTTTTGAAAAGAAAGACATATTTTTTAAAAAACGCATTACAAAAGGACAAAATTCAAAAATATTATCTAATAGAAAAAGTATAGTTCCAAAGGGATATTATTCATGCCGCGCGAGTTACAATCGTGTCGATATGTACGACCCTGTGATATTCTTCGTGTAAAATTGGAGGAGCGAGATTTGTCTAGATGGTATGTATATTTAAAAGCACCTATTATGATTTTGACAACCATATAATCACAGTATTGCCTGCTGTTTTCCGTTCCGACCATATGTATCTTGCAGTTCCTACCAATGTGGCTTACCTTGTGGGGAGTAGGATAGCAAAACTTTAATTCTTTCAAAAAAGTGTGCTCAAAATTTTAGCTTGACTTACTTGGTATTGGTACCCAAATAAAAAAAACGAAACAAATTTATATTGTGTAAGTAGTTAAATAACCCGGGTGACGGGACCTTTGATGTCGGTAAAAAGGGTAATAAAAATGCAATTAATGGATTAGCTGTCAAACTTAGAGTGGTTTAGGTAATTAAAATGCACTTAATTAGGGGGAGATATGAATCTGTCATAAGAGGGGGTAATAAAGATGGAATAAATTAGCGTCAGTGCATGTAAAAGGACATTTGAGATCAAGTGTTCAAGGTTCCCACAGGGATATGGATACGAGTGCGAATGCAACGGAGCGATCCCGGTAGCGACCCCGGATCGATGCACGTGCACCGACGACCCCTCACTTAGAGCGTGAGGCAATTGAAAAAGGGCGCACCGGGGAGATCCTGCTCCGACCGGAGTGAGCCTGACCCACACGTGTACGTTTACCCACTTAAGGCAATTGAAAAAGGGCGCACGGCGGCGGTGCTGCTCCGCCCGGATAAGGCAATTGAAAAGGGCGCACGGCGGCGGTGCTGCTCCGCCCGGATATGGCAATTGAAAAAGGGCGCACGGCGGCGATCTTCCGTGTACGTTTACCCACGATCCTCGTTTGAAAAAGGGACGGGGTGGATCCTCGTTGGAAAAAGGGACGGTGTGGATCCTCGCTTGAAAAAGGAACAGGGTGTAAGTGAACAAGGGCGCCAGACGTGTACGTTCAGGCAACATCCACTTGAAAAAGGGACGGGGTGTAAGTGAACAAGGGCGCCAGAGTCGAAACATTTTCCCACCCACGACTCAGGACTGTGAATTTCCCTATGAGATACCTCACTTGAAAAAGGTCACTTGTATTCCCACTGAAGGGCCGCTGGAAAGAGGATCAGAGCAGTCAAATTTTCCCACCCTCATCCCACCTACACTAGATCAAGTGCGTGCAACAACCTGCTCAATTAGCTCACCAAAATCTGGATGGTGAAGGATGCACTTGTAACGGTTTCTCAACAGTCTGTGCAATGTGAAACACCCCATCCATCCAAAACTCAAATCCACAGTCAATCTGAAAAGTAAAGGCTGCAAAAGAAATATTCCATATCCCATTTCCACCATTAAAAAATGCTGTCTATTTATTTTTGTTTAAATATAATTGTATTTTTCAAGTATAATAATCAAAAGCGATGTTCCAAATTAACATACATTTTCATAATTTTTAATGATTTTTGTGAGCGGACAGTAAAGAAATGGCAAGCACATGTATCAACTGCATTCTCGACATTAACAACAACAAGATGTGAAATGTTGTCCATGAATATTGGAAACCAGCGGTGTATCAGCCATCCTTTTATAAAAATATTTGAGCGACTCCTCCAGATATTTCTCATGTTCGGGGAAAATTTGATGTTTAAACATTTTCATGAAATTAATTATTTTTATTACAAATTGTTGAATGCTATTACTGGTTGAGATGATGTCTTTGTTTTTTAGTGTTAGCATTTTGATGGATCCGTGTACGTCTACTTGCAATGAATTCAAAAATTTAAATTAAGTAATCCTTACCAAATTGTTAGACGATACGTTGAACCAATCCAGTTAATGGTGAGTATTCAACTAGTCGATCATGGATGAGAAGGCAATATGCCTTTGTATTTATCTCATTCGCAACAGTTAGCTCAGTGGAAATTTTTATATCAGTCGCTCCTGATTTGACACTCTCGTTCTGGTATGAGAGATCAACAACCACAATAGGAGCCTTCGACATGAATTATATCGGAGATAAAAGAGCTCGGGGTTCTCGATTGTAATAGCTCTCTTGAAATTTTGTATACATGTCATACAAGACAGCAAACCGATTCTCATTATATTTAACATTCAAATCCTCATAGGGATATACTTCAGAATTAAGATATACCTTTGCATTTCTCAAATTGTTTGCAATTAGTTCTCCATTCAATGTAAATGCAATAACAGCAAAACGTGGACGTTCTCTATTTGCAGACATCTTAACATTCCATATATGATGTGTTCCCTGAACCAATGTCGGATTTATATAACAATCCCAACTCCGGAATGCGAGTGGGAGGCTAGCTCCACTCTTTACTACATTAAACATTTTAATTTTACCACTGTCACTTGGAACGATGTGGGGGATCTTCCAACTTATACTATTTATAGCAATATTATGGATTTTTCCATCAACATTTTTCACAAACATATCATCAGGGTTTTTCGTAAGTAACAGAACGAGCTCATGTTTACAGTTTAAGACGACTTTCTTATAGTCTTCAGCGAACCCCATCAACATTTTTAAAGGTACAGAAAAACTGAAATGTCCTCCAGAAGGGATATTGTCCCCGCCACTCCACCCCGCATTGCGATAGGCCGATCCTTCCTGTTGGCCGACTGAGAGAAAGTTCTTAATAGTCGTTGTTATTCCAGTAAACCGCGTCCTATCCAATTCACAACCATTCAACTCATATCTTATTTCATCCAGAAAATAGGCCATGCAATTACTTTTGAGCAAACCGCTAACGCCATTTGTACTAGTCGTTCCTGTATTTGAGTCAATAATTTTGCTAAGCGTTCCTTCAAAATGGAGAAATCTTTCACATGGAAGGACATACAAATCTTGGTTTTGCAAACTGATCCGTACTTCATCATTTGCTTTGAAGTTCTGCTGATATGGATAATATGAATGAAACTCTTTTTTAATAATAGATTCATCGTTAGTAGGCTTTTCCTGGACATAAAAGATCTCATTCATTTGAATATTAGTTGATAAACTTTATTTAATATTAAATCCCAACGATTTCAAAATCAATCTATTTTTTAATGTGAGGGCCGGGCGTTGATGTGAAGATGATGGTGCTTTCACTTCAGCTTTAGATTTGATAATGTTATCAAAGGATCGATGAGTACCCCTTTTATTGTAAATAATCATTTTCTCGGTCGTAAGTGGAGACGGATTGATACAGTTTCTCCACGCAAATTAACTAAATCTCCGTCCTGATCAGTTATCCGTATCTCGAGTGTGCTTATTTCTCTGGTGTTCACAGACAAATAAATCAAATTTCGTGGTGTTATGTTCATTTTATATCCAGGGGGGACATTGATTCCAAATTCATGAAGCACATGATTTGATTTATGACCCGCTTATAATGTTGCATTCCAATCTAACAGAATTTATTTTTAAAATATTTACAGGATTATCCGAGATGTAAACTTCTTTCTCATGTGGTCTTAATTTTCGTTTAATAAATCCGAATAAACGACCATTTGATCGTTCATGATTAAAATATACGGTCTCATTTTTATACCCTTGCAGGGTATTATAATTTCAGTCAGAAGTTTGCAACGCAGTGAAGGAGACGTTTCCGACCCTATAAAGTATATATATTCTTGATCAGCATCAACAGCCGAGTCGATCTAGCCATGTCCGTCTGTCCGTCTGTCCTTCTGTCCACCTGTCCGTTTCTACGCAAACTAGTCCCTCAGTTTTAAAGCTATCTGAATGAAACTTTGCATATAGTCTTCTATGTACTCTCACTGCTATGTCGGAACGGGCCAGATCAGATGACTATATCATATAGCTGCCATACAAATGATCGATAAATTTTTAAAAAAAAATTATAACTTTGCTGTTTTTCAATATTTTTGCACCATTTTTTAGATATGGCCATTTTATATTATTTCTAAATTTTGATTAAAATTTTATGAAAATCGACTATATGATATAGCTGCCATAGGAACGATCGGGAAATTAATAGGAAAAAAATTATAGCTTCGTTGTTTTTCAACGTATTATTATCTACTCTGAGATATAGACTTTTTTATTGTTCTAGAATTTTGGTATAAATTTCATAAAAAATCGGGCAACTATATCATATAGCTGCCATAGAAGCGATCGGTAATTGTATAAAATATGTAAAGCTGGGAATGTAAAACTGTAACTGTCAAACTGTAAACATAATAAGTTTAGGTAAACTGTAATGAAACTCTGTTTTGTGAGTGTTTTCAACATTTATATCTATAATATAAACATCAAAACCAATCTGCAAGGGTATACAAACTTCGGCGTGCCGAAGTTAGCTTCCTTCTTGTTAGTAATAACTTGAACTTGTGAAGTGTTGATATTACACTCTATTTTTATACTGTCTTGAAGCTCATACTCCTTGAGCTTATTAATAATATATTTTGAAATATCCTCAAACTCATATGAGCCAATTGGTATTTCAATGACTTTGTTCCCAATATGAAATAAGTTGTTCCCCTTATCAACATTCGGTATAGAATTGAATGTATAAAAATCAATTAGAGCACATTCATAATTACGTTTTAGCTCAATTTGTGGGAAAAAAATTCTCGCTAAGTACAGATGTATTGCCATTTAGAGCTATTGTCAATGATGTAGTCATTATGATGCTTGAGTCTGAACTGACTTTATTCCCAATAATATTATTATATTTATATTATCATTATTATTTATTCAAGTACTAGCAGACCCGACCCGCTTTGCTGGGCCCGTACTAATTATAGTTGACCCGGCAAACACTGTTTTGTCATGCATATTATTTGTAGGAAACAATACGGAAACAATGAGCATATTACAGAGTTGTCAGTAAATAAAATATTAAACCTTCAACAGTAATCTTAATATATAAAAATCTCCTGTCACTATGTTTGTTCGCTATAGACTCCTAAACCGCTTCCTCTGCTTGTTCAATAAAAGGATACTGGCATCGGGTCGTTACGCGCTCTTCACAATTGCCCATAAAATAAATTTGAAGAAATTTCGGATTATCATCAGGCATCAATAATCCAATTTTGTGGTACATCTGGCCTTGTATTTTGAATGTAGTTTCAAAATTACGTCCATCGGATGCAAGTTCACAAATTTTAGTGGCCCCAAATGACGTCATTTGGAAGCAACTATTAAATTTGCGTATTTTACGCAAAAATAATTTTGAGTCATTTGAATTTCCAGCAAGAAGGGATAATAAAGGTTCTGGCGGAGCAAGTAGAGGTTGCAAAACGACTTTTCCTGCTGCGCA